GAAAAGTGTGCTTGCGAAGGGAACGGCTGCGCCGGGCATGCGAGAGTGGCAAGCTTGCTCGACAGTATAATAGTACTACTACTACTACTACTACTACTACTACTACTACTACTACTAGTACTCCTAGTACTAGTACTACTACTACTACTACTACTACTACTACTACTAGTGCTAGTACTAGTACTACTACTACTACTACTACTACTACAGTACTACTACTACTACTACTACTACTACTACTACTACTCTGTTTGCAAATATTTTTTTGATGCTTAGCAAATTTTTTTTTGATGGCCGCAGGGTCAAATTTTTTTTGATGTCTATCAATTTTTTTTTAGATGCTTCACCCTTGTTCAGGGGGGCTTCTTCTGTTTCCCTTTGGGGTTGTTGGGGCTCCGGGTGCATGGGGCTGCTCTTTCTGTGGATTGTGGAGCTTACTAGTGTGTACATGGTGAACCAGAATATGGGTATATGTATGTATATATATATATATATATATGTATATGTATATGCATATGTATATGTATATGTATATGTATATGTATATGTATATGTATATATGTATATATGTATATGTAATGCACACAGGTATATGTATATGTATATGTATATGTATATGTATATGTATATGTATATGTATATGTATATGTTTTTGTATATGAACACGTGTGCATACATGCATGAATGAATGCGCACTCGTAAGTACTCTCATATCTAGACATACAAACACACATACATATGCATATACAGACGTATGTATATGTACTGCAGTGCCAGCTTTGATGTGTGGCTTGGCGAGCTTCTTTGTGGGATTGCCTTGGGCCTTCGGGGCTGTGGCCTCTGTGGCGTTGCATCTTGCCCCCACGCTTCGAGGGCCTTCAGGTGTCGGGGGCCTGGTGCCCTTCAGAAGCCCCCGAGGTGAATCTGCAACCTGCGCTGGCCCGTGCAAACAGCAGCGACCTCAGGGGTTGCATGGGCCTGGCGAATTGCTCGAAAGGATGACCTTTTGAGAAACAACGCCATCGCCGCTGCTGAAGCTGTGGATCATTCGTAGGCCCTGGTCCATGACATCAACATTCTAAAGCGAGCTCTATTCAATTTGAAGAAGTAGGCCAAGCTCTCGGCTAGCGACAGAATCCCAGGGCCAAGATAGGCATGCAATCCGCAGAAGAAGCCTGCTAGAAGAATCATGTTTGCACATGGCTGAGCTTGATTCAGCTGGTTCTGCCCCATCGCACTGTGACTTTGAGGCACATGGAAGTCTGATATAAGGCCATACCTAGCAGCTTTTGCCGGCCGAGCAACCGTCCTCAACCCAGGGTCCCGCAAGAAAGGAGATTGGAAACCCACAGAGAGATAGTGACGACATTGCCATGCGGCGAGCGAATCTGCGCTCGTTGCTGCCTCTTGGTCTGTAGTGTGCCGTAAGAGGAAGCTGACAGCAGACTTTGTGCAGTGTAATTAGTATATATGGACTTGAGAATCGAAGTCTTTGCGGGTCGCGGTTCTTGGTTGATGGAGCATCCCCATTTTCATTGTCGAGCATGTGATCCCCGTGCCATGAGGCACACCGCAAGCACGGAAGACAACTCGGCACGTTTATGCTTATCACAGTGCGTTCAAGCTCCTTCAGCCGCAAACCTGGGCAACCATCTTGTCGCCCATAACTGTCGTGGAGCCTTGTAGCTGCATTGTAGCTGTGATCATAGAAGCTGTCATTAGTCTTCCAAACGGAGCAGTAGGAGGAGGAGTTGGAGTTGGAGTACGGGTAGGAGAAGTAGGAGCAGGAGCAGGATCAGTAGTAGTAGCAGTAGTAGCGATATTGATACTAGGATAGTAGTGGTCGTAGTGGTAGTGCTAGTGGTGGTTGTGCTACCAGTGGTAGTGGTAGAGGCAGTCGTCGTCGTCGTAGGAGTAGTAGTAGTAGTAGTAGCAGTAGTAGTAGTAGTAGTAGTAGTAGAAGTAGTAGCAGCAGTGTAGTAGCAGCAGCAGCAGTAGCAGCCGCAGCAGTAGCAGCA